CGATAGCTGGTTTTAATTTCCCCATTCTCCAGTGACTTGTTAATATTAGTACTGACCTTTGGTGCAAGGTGAACACATGGTTGGACTGAAGAGAAAAGGCTGTGGGTGGCTCAGGGACTTCTTTGGCAGCTACAGCAGCTAATATTTCAACACTGCACACACCCCTTAACAAGGGCGCTTCCTCAGCCTTCCCAGGAACCAACGAATGTCTCCGGATTTCCTATTTGATGCCACCCACTGGACCTGCTTTGGGGGTCTGTAAATGCAGGAGAGCCATTGGATAATTAGCGATGGAAGAAAAAGCCTCTAAGAGAACAGGTAGGTGAGAAAAAAGGAAAAGTAGACAGGTGTTTCATAGGTCAAAATCCTTGCTTCAGGCTCTTGGGAAGGTCTTCTTTGCAAAGGAGTTTGATTGAGCTATATTAAAGGGTATGGGCGAGTTGGGGAAAGATGAAATGTAATTCTAATCTATCTCTCACTATTTTAAAATCCAGTTGTACTTGATTTTGTAGGACACTGGCCTAAAGGGCAATCCCCTACTATCTTTGAAATTTCAATTTTCATTTTAATTTCCTTCATTTTTGGAAATAGTGTCTAACTGTGTTTCCCATGCTGGCCCGAAACTTTATCCCTGACTGGCTGTGATTGTGTGATCCTCCCAGCCTAGCTCCCAACTCTGTAGTCTATTTTTTAATTCAGCATACAATAGAGACTCTCTGACCTGTCCTTTCGTGTATAAAGTGGGGTTGATTTGCTATGAAACTTTGACAAGTTCTTTAGTTCTCTGGGTGTCAATAGGCACCTTACTAAAATATAAAATAAAGCCCCTAGCCTACTTCCCACAGAGGTCTGGCCTGATGATCAAGAAAAAGTGGAGTTTGAAGAGGCAGAATCCAGAACTCTTTGGAGAGACACTTCGGGACTTTCATGCTGTGTCTGAGATTAGTGCTCTTGGCTTTTATGTGGCATCCATAGGTAGTACCACCCACAACTCTCTAGTGCACTCCTTTCTGACTGACTATGGTCAATGAAGATCCACTCCTATGACTAGAATGCAGTGAGCTTTGCGTACCAGATGTGAATCTGAAAACAGTGGAACAATGGGCCAGGGTGGCTGCTGTCAGAGAAGTCCTGATGTGTGCTCATCCATGAATCTAACCCATAAGCATGTGCTCAACCATCTGTCAGCGTTCTAGCCTGTAGCAAATGCATTCACAACCACACATTTTCAAGACTTGCCAAAAACCAGACCCCATTTATTATTATTTTATTATTATTATTATTGTTGTTGTTGTTTTGTTCTTCGAGACAGGGTTTTTCTGTAGCTTTGGAGCCTGTCCTAGTACTCACTCTGTAGACAAGGCTGACCTTGAACTCACAGAGATCCACCTGCCTCTGCCTCCCAAGTACTGGGAATAAAGGCATGTGCCACTACAACCTGGCTTCCCATTTATCATTTTATTGTTCATGCGAACTGTTTTGGTGCTTTAAATGAGATTCCTCTCCACACTCTGTACTTGGAGATGGGAGTACTCTCCACGGGTCTTCAAAAGTCACACTTTGTAGTTCTCTTCTCTAGAGATAGTCCCACTTTAAAATTTATGATTCAACCTTTAGCCTTGAATGTAAATCTGATGCTGAGTAAACTATGTCTATAACCAATACATTAAACCTTCTTAGAGGGAATTTCATAATTTTATTTATTCTGTTCCATCCCAAAGTTTTAAAACTTTCTTAGATGTCACTCTTTACCTCAGACAAATCTCCCCGCCCCCCGCCACATTCCCTGAAAGGTGTTATACCTACCATGGTGAACTTGGATTTCTTATCGCCATATGTATCTCATCTGCAACAGAGAAATGTAGGCTGTGAACATAGTCATTGTACAACTGTCCTCCATACCAGAACCTGAGATGAACAGTTAGTAGATTACAGGGATTCAGGCCTCATCTTCAAGGAGCCCACAGTCTAGTTAGGAAAAGAGAAAATCTTGCTCACATAGAGACACATGTGCAATATGAGAATCAAAGGCAAAGTCTCTCTCAGGGCTCCAAGGCTGACTTTCAGAGAAGGGAAACACTAAAACTGATCTTGACGAGCACGACAGAGCTCAATGAGAACAGAAGATGCTCCAGGCTAAGCAAAAGCTTAAAGACAGGAAAATGCTGTTTTGGGGCCCTGTGAATCAGCCAGTGCAGTTAAACATGGGGTTTGAAGGGTAGCAGACTGAATAGGTAGGTTGGGACGGATTTAGCAGAGGTTTGAATGCTAGTCTGGGGCATTTCTAGAAAGCTTGTTTTATTCTGTTTCTGAGCTGAGAACGGTGGAAAGTTTCATAGACAGGTTTAAATTAGGTTATCAAACCCAGACCCTGACTTTTACCCTTTCAGACCTTGTCAGAGGCCCTCTAGACACCTAGCTCAGATTTCTTGCTACTAAAATTATCTTCTTGATTCTTGGCAGTGTCATAAGGACAAATTTATAAACATAAAAGATATGTTAATGTGATTGGCTAGATTACCTTGGACAAGCTGTCCCTTCCTCAGACCCATTTCCCTGTGTTTTTTTCTGTGGGTGTTTGAAAGGAACAAGTAAGATAAATGAAATGATGCTTTGTGGACAGTTGAAACCACAAAGACGAGTAAGATCTTTAAAATAAACTTACACTAGTTATGTGTCTTATTGGGGTTAAGAAACTTGTGTTTTATAAAGTCTGTTTCTAAGACTCTAGGGGTTCTCTGCTAATCTGAAAGACCTAGTTATTTTTTAACTTTAAATTGACACCTAATTATACATACTTGTGTGGTACTGTATATTTTAATACTTGCATATAATGTGCAATGATTAATTGGGATAGGTATAACCTCAAATATTTATCATTTCTCCTCTCTACTAGCTACTTAGAAGTATAATTACTTGCTTTCAGCTATTGTTATCCTTCTGATGCACAGCTTTAGAACATCAGAAGTTAGTCCTGCTCTTTACCCGAATCCCACACCAGTTGTTCTTTCTTCCCCTCTCCTTTTCCCACTAGTCTATACTCAGCTTCTTACCAACATCTTTTAGGTTCTGCAAATAAGTGAGAACATGTAGGATTTGATGTTCCATGCCAGACATAGTTAACAGAAACTGAAAATGAGTTTACCTCTCTAATTGATTCTCAGGAACTCTTCATGGTGCAAATGTTAATCCTGCATCATAATATTGTGATAGAGTTTACAGATTACTTGAAAAAACCGACTCATTTACTTCACAAATGGAACAGCAATGTTGAATAATATATATTCAGCATTTCCCAGGTTTCTTTATGTATATCAGTATGTTGGCTCTTCACTAGCCATGAAGGAATAGGCACTCCTTTCTTTCCCTATATACCAAATGAAAGAGCAAAACAAAGCAGACAACAGCTAAGTCGCTGAAAAGTTAGCCTTCTGCCCAGTTTCTTAGATCCAGCAATGGGACAAAGTGAGTTTCCACCCAGGCAGTGTGGCTTCATACTCCATTATTCTTAACTGTTGTGGTCCACTGCCACAGTAGGTGCATTGCCATAGGTAGAATTTTGGTATTGAAAGTCTTATATGATATAGACACAGCAACTGGAGGGAATCTAACCCTTAAATAGACGAAGGTTCTGAGAAGATATTTTAGGAAGCTTCTTAAAAGTCAGAGTAGAGCTGGGAGCATTTGAGGGCAGGGCCTGGAGATTTCTTTTCCTGGGAGACTGCCCTTGCGTAGACCAGCTCAGTGGAAGAAAGTTGAGCTTCCTAATACCCAATCACTGGAGGTTTGTTGGAGGTGGGAAGGTTATAAAGAATGGAGTAAAAGGGCACTTGGACATCTTCCAGGCGAGCTGTGCAGTTGTATGAATTCTACAGATACAAGTCTCAAAATAACCAGGGAAATGGCAAGAAGAGTAGGGACAAGTGAAGGGGAGCCATCTGGATGAGGTGGCTCTAGCATGTGAATTTGTGCTGTTTAGATATTGGTCATTGTCTCTTGTCCCTCCTGTATGCTTTGCTCAATGCAGTTTCCACTCTCCTAAGTCCCCATCCCAACAACTTGCCATGATGAGCTTTAGCTGGGGTTTGGATTAGATTGTGATGCCATTATTGCTGGGTCATCTCATAGCATTGGCAGCCATGTGAACTGCGCTTACATATCGGCTCTCTGCCTAGCAATGGCTGCATTCACTCCTATTCCCAAGGTGTCAGATTTACTTGATTTATTTAACCTTGGCTGGAGAGAGTATAAAGTTGATCGGATAGTGCCAATCTCTTTGAGGAGCCCCGGACAGCTCATTTTAAGAGGGAGAGGTCTTGTGGAGAGGCAGGCAACAAACTCCAGGGAAGGACAATTTTGCAGTGCCTTATTGAGTAGGATGAGCAGTGAGGTAGTGAAAGTCTACTTCCAGACTGAATCTTAAATTGCTAGCTCAAAACATCGCATTTTGAATTAGGGCCATTATGTTTGTGTTTTTGTTTTGAGGGTTCATGTAATTCTGGTGTGAATCTCTTTCTGTGTTGGAGCTTCACATTGTAATTAGGCCTGCTATTTTAATTTCAAAGCTGAGACCTATCTCCACCACCTTTGCCATGCCACACCACACAGGATGTAAGCACATGATCTTTGGGATTTTTATTTGCATACTCTACTAGTCCTGTCTTCATTGGCAGGAAGTAACTGGTCAGACCTGGGCTGTCTTGCTGGCTGCCCTCCTTGCTGGGCTCCAATTTATCTTCTATGTACATAGCCCTTAGAGTTCAGAGGCCTCTGCTGACTTCTGCCTAGCCTCTGGCTTTCAGCACCCACGTCCCCACTTGTACATACAGGAGCAGAAGGAAAAGAGGGAGCTGGAGATAGTCTTTGAGAGGCTCAGAAAACCAGTGATTCCCCTGGCCCAGCCCTGTCCACTTGCTGCTGTGGCCGCGACATCAGAAAGGACAGCTAGGAACATAGAAAGTGAGGTCCAATACCTTGTGGTCAGTGCTGTCATTGCTGCAACGTCTAAGATGTCTCAAGAGATGGGAGAACTCACTCAAACCAGGTTACAGAAGATCTGGATTCCACACAGCAGCAGCAGGCTTCAACAGCGAAGGGGCTGTAAGTGGGGTTTACATTTGTGGGAGGTGGTGGTAGGGGTCTAGAAAAATAAATGGTGCTCCCTGTCCACTCCTGCCCTCACATAGAAGTTGGAATAGATAAACGATTGCATAAAATAGCTGGAACATAACAAGAGGCTAATATGAGAAAGGGTAAGGAAGTAAGAAAGAAAGGCAGGCAGAGAACATAAAGAATGAAGATTAGATAAAGAGCACCTAAACTATAGGTACCCCAGACTAAGGGCTTTTCCCCTTGAATCGGGAGCTTGTTTGGAATGCTTCTTTCTAGAATGTGAAGGTTCTAGTATAGTACTATTCAGAATATTTTAGTTTGATTTCGTTTATGAAGGATCTGGAAATGGATTTTGTTTAATTTATGCCAGGGTGAAATAAGGTGATGGTTCCTGGCATCATGTCTTGGAGGATAGGTGCTGAGTCCACAGCGCTACCATGTCAGCATTGCCCTTCTGCTTTCACTGTCCTTTTAAAAATAAGCCTGTGCCTGCCTGGGCTGGGGAAGACTAAGTACTGGGCTCCTGTATTGCCTTCCTGGCCTTGACATTTACAGATAGCCTTGCTTTTCTGAGGAGCTGAGGGAAAAGATGGTATCACCAAGCCAAGTCTACTAGTGTATTATTCAACTTGAAATTTTAAGGAACAGGCTGAGGGAAAGTAAGCAAAGCTTGGAAGTAGGCTTTGAAACTGAAGTATGCCATTTCTCATAAATAACCGAGATAATTGTGCAACCAGGTGTTTCCATCCCAGCTTGAGAGTGTAGAAGGGGGCTAGAGATAAGACATCTGTGAACTGCAGGACTCAGACAGCTCAAGCAGCTGCGGAGCAAGCTTCCAGACTCAAAGTTAGAGGACGGTAGTCCTAAGGCATACTGTGGGTATTACTTCATCATAACTGTTCCAGGAAGACATACAATATTAGATTAGTGCATGGGATGTTGGATATGTATACAGGAAGCAGAATGGAGGATAGAACCCAATGTCATGTTCTCCATTGTTCTCTCCATCAGCAGTCCTAATTACTCATCTGGAAATATAGGAGTTTGTATGAGATAGAAGCTCATTCCACCCTTACCTGTCCAGCTACTCTTGATCCTCTTGGGTTTAGCTGACAAGCAGTGAAACCACTCTGCATAGCTAGATAGGTCTTCCAGAGTGAAACCCCTTATATTCCTGAGAAATCTGACCAATATTCAGGAGGCAGATTCAGGAGGATTGCTGTAAGTTTGAGAGCTAATCTTAGCTATACTGTAAGTTCTCAACCAGCTAGAGGTATATCTCAAAACCTCTATCTCAAAAACAATACAAGAACAAACCCTGCACAAAACAGAAAAATATGTGCTTATTTTAATTCTGAGCACCATATTCCTTAATTGTTCGTAAGAGTAATACTTACCAGATGCAAGGCTGTGTAGCTTTGAGTCCCACCTCCTGTCTTTCTTAATGTAGACAAGCCTCTTTTTGCTTCTGTTGCCTCACCTGTAAACTGATAGTGATAACAGTGCTGTCGCAAAGATGAGATAAGCTGAAGTGGGTAATGTACTTAGAAGAATGCCCAGCACGTACCATGCACTCAGGAAATGTTATTAAAGAAAAACATGGTCGCCTTCTTTTATTCACCATCATACCCAGTGTGAAGTCCTGAGCCTGGCCCAGAACAGATGCTCTGTCAATAATCACTTGGCTTTTTACTTTTACTTTTACCATCACTGTTTTCACAACACTTCTTAATAATTAACTGAATTTTGTGGCCAGGGCCTTTGGCAATGTCTGCCTTTCCTCCCAGGATAGGTAGGCAGGTATTGACCTGAGAAAGGTTTGACTCTCTTTGCTTATAGCATCCTCTTTGGAGTATAGAATCAATCATTTTGTTCCGACTATTAATTGTATAAGCATGTATAAAGTGCTTGGATAGCTGCACTTTCTTACTCAATATTATATGTATATGAGGCACACATATTACTGTTGTACATATTCATAGCTTGTTTATTTTTCCTTGCAGTATACTATTACATTTTATGACTATCTTGTGGTTTATCTGTCTTACTACTGATGAGCATTAGGTAATTTTAAAATCTTAGCTTTAAACAGTAGTGCAGTGAACATTTATTTTGGTAGTGTAAACTTCCATCTTGCCCTTCTTATGGAATATCTTGACTATTCTTGGCCAACTGCTCTTCCCCATAAATTGTGGAATCGTCTTTTCAAGTTATACACACAGAGAGGCAATATTTGAAGGATTTGATTGGAATCACACTCAATCTATAAATCAATGTGGGGAGAATAACCATTTTCTGGTAGGTATTTAATTTTCCTTAAACATGATATATCTCTTGAAAAATTTTGACTTTTTTCATGTCATTTGGAGTGATGTTTTATTATTTATTCTAGGAAGGGTTTGCACATCATTTTAAGGAGTTTTTCTTGTTTATTTTTATTGTTACTATAAACAGTACTTTTGTAGAAAGTTGTGTTTTATAGTAGTATATGGTGAATTTAAAATTGACGAACCAGCCAGGCGGTGGTGGCACATGCCTTTAATCTCTGTGAGTTCGAGGCCAGCCTGGTCTACAAGAGCAAGTTCCAGGACAGGCTCCAAAGCTACACAGAGAAAACCTGTCTCAAAAAACCAAAAAAAAAAAAAAATCGGCAAACCTACTAGGCTTGCTTATTAGCTTTGGCAATTTGTATACAAATTACAACTTTCATTTTTCCGCAGCAATCCTTATCCTTGTGATCCTTAAATATCTTTTTTTCTTATGTTAATGCTTATATTTTCTTATATTAATTGCTAAGACCCCACCTCCAAAACATATAAACACACACATAATACAATGTAATTTTAGAAAGTATGTTAACAATGAACATTCATATCTTGATACTGCTTTTAAAGAGACTGTTTTTGAAAGTTTGAACATTGAATAATTGAATGTAAGGTTTTCTTTTTGGAAGATACCTCTTAAGAAGGTATCTCTTTATTCCTAATGACATAGTGAGTTGATGTTGAAATTTATAAGATGTAGTTTCTGTGTCTATTGAAATACAGCATGATTATTTTAATTTTAGCTTTTTTGTGCTGCATGGTTTTTCTTATTATGAGCTAATTTTGCAGTCCTGGGACTTAAAGGTACTTCTAAATTTAGTTCACCAAAATTTTGTTCAGTACTTTCATATTTTCTTCAGGAGAGAGTCTATTCTAATGTTGTCATTTTCTGGTTTTGGTGTCAAGGTTATACTAACATCGTGCGGTGAAATGTGAACTATTTTCTTTCATTCCATCTCTGACAGGGATTGTCCCAGAACTGTCTGTTCCTCAAATATTTGGCAGAACTTCCAGATCAAACAGTCTAGTCCTAGTGGGTCTTTAAAACCTTTTAAACTGTTATAGTTTCTTTGAAAGTTATGGAGTTTGTTTGTTTCCTGCTTGTACTTGTATTAATACTTACTAAGTTATGATTTTCTTAGAATTTTCTATTTTACAAGTTTTCAAGTTTATTTAGATTTTGTACGTATATCTTTTAAAAATGTCTGTTTGTTATTATATGTTCTTTTTCTAAGATTCATTTTTTTTTATTGAAAACTTTCACAGAATAGATTCTCTAACAACACTGTTTTATTGTACCTTTGGTTTTTTTTTCTCTCAACAAATCTTGTGAACAGTTTATAAGTTGTATGGTTCTTTTTAAAATAAAAAAATCAGCTTTGGACTTTGTTTCTTTAAGCTTCATTTTTTGTTTGTTCCTCCTTTACCTTTACTTTTTGTTTAATTTGCTTTCTAGTAACTATTCATGTCTTGCTCTCTTTGGATATTCTTTTAACTAGCAGAGTTAGATGGTCATCTCATTTATTTTCAGGCTTTTTTCTCTTCTGATCTATAATTGGTCTACTAAACCTGACTTGTGTTGTATGTATGCATAAGTCTTTCTAGACCATTTGTAATTAGATACTGCCATAGATTTGCAAAGTCTATCACTTATCCAGTTGCCCCCCTTGCCTTAATCTCTATTCCAGCACTACTAGGACCCTCCTGACTGTCATGTAGAAGCTAAGAGGTTAATGCTTGGAGCAGCAGGACACCTCTTCTACTTAGTGCCAGCCCTTGAACCAGCTTCTGTTTAGATAGGTCATTGCCTTTGCCATATCCACTCAAATTCCATTCCTGCAAGAAAACAAACTTTGTATGATCCCAGTGCCTTGATATATGCTTTATGTAGCATTTGGTGACTGTTCTCTGAGCACTTGAAAAGACTGTATATTTTACCTTTGTATTGTGTTTATCTTAGGTTTTGTTTGTTAATATCTTGTTTGTTAATATGGTTGAAGTGTGCCAATATTCTACTGGCGTTTGAACTGCCTATCATTGTGGATAATTGGTCAAAGTCTCCTAATAATTTGCCAATTTGTCTGCTTGTTATAAATAAATTTAGATAGTTACAAATAAATTTAGACTGCTGGTTAAGTTTCAAACCTGGGGCAAGGAGTTGAAGTGCCTATTTAACATATCAAAGCTGGACCTGACAGCCAGGTTCTCCCAGCATCCCTCAGTCCCTACCTGTTTCAGAATATGACTGGCATACCTTGCCCTCTGCCCTGAACTCTCTGGCCCAGGGTCTGGACTGCCCTTCCCCCAGAGTCTCTTCCCTGTATAATCCAAGCATTTTGATTACCTGCCCTTTTGTACCTTTGGCCTCCTGTCTTCTGCACCTGATTCCCCCTCTTTTCTCTCCCTGCATTTTCTCTTCTTCCCACAAGGCCCAACTCAGTCTGGTTATGTCCACTCTGGACTTTCCCTAATGTCCCATTCTCTGACTATACTCTCTTACATATCTCTATAATAAACTTTCTTCTCCACCATTCCTAGGAGCAGTCATGTCCTTTCCTTTTTTCTTTTTTTCACTGCTCTATCTTTGGGAATATCAAATAGTCAGTTATTGTTATATTGCCCTACAATCTTGTTTTCCTGTGATATTAATATACACACACTCAG